CTAACGCTTTCATTCTTTGACTTGTGTTGCAATTGGATGGTGTAGGGAGAGAAAGAGTGGTTATTCACAGTGCTTTCCCATGACTAGAGAAACCCAGTTTACCCTCATTTACTTTATAAACCAAAGCTGTTTCTTAAAACTAGATGCAACATGGGTATCACAGGACTTTATATAATTTAAAAGGATCAGATAAAACTTGTATATAGAAAACCAGAAACACACATTAGAAAAGTATAATGTCGTTAAACATGCACTTGAGAATAATGTGCTAAGCAAGAAACAACATTTAAAGTTTACCTAATTATGTTATTCTGTTCAGTATTAGAAACAGGCTGCATTGTCTCTGAAGCATATAAAACTATTTACTAGTGCAGTAAGAACCTTTTGTTTAAAAAAACCTTCAAAATAACAACAAAATCCCCCACCACCAAACAAACAAAATCTAAAACTACAAATAAAATAAAAAACCCGAAGAAAAATGAAAAAGAAATCCCCAGATTGCTACAATGATTAATTTGGTTGCACTGGTAAATGATTCACTTCTGTGGACTTCAATTCTCCTTCAGTCTTGTAATTTTCTGATTGGATTTTATAGAATCCTTTCATTCTTTTGGCAAGGTTGCCTGTGTGCAGATGGAGAATGAAGTGGTGTGCTCATGTAATAGTTCCCCCATGCAGATTCTTAATCTGTAATGAATGTTACACAGTGCAGCCCTCAGTGGAGATGAATCCACTCACTTGCTGAGGAGTAAGACTGCACACAAAAGCAGAGAGATGATGAACTATTGCATGCTGGCTGCTCCAGTCTTCAGCAGCTGTCTCATGAAAGTGGTAATAGGCAAACTAAAATTCTGCTGCATTTCTGTTTAGAGAAACACTTATTTTTTGCTCAGATGTAGAATTGAAGACAGTAACTGCAGTTTATTTTCTCAATGATTGAATATGACATGGAACTAACACTATTGCTGTGTGGTTTAAGTTAGGGGTTTTTTAATACTTAAAGTTTTCTCTAGTATCTTTTGAAATTACTCCCATGGTATTTTTGGTTTTATCTTTCTAAATGTCATCTGTGTATTTTGGACTGTACTCACCACATCATATGGGAAAGCAGGCCTGTTCTGTATATCTGCTTTATAAGGGTCATGAGATAGGTACTGTAATTCAGTCCTTCATGTATCTCTTTCTTCTTCAGTGACCAGCGTTTCATACTTCTGAAAAACTGTGATAAATGCAGCAAACAATTTATATGTATACATGTACAATGTATGCTCTGTGCATTGTGAAAAATAGGTTTTACCACTATTACTGAATTTTAACTCATTTTTGTTCTGTTGCATTGTTCTAGTTTTTCATTTCATGTTGAAATGACATAGTAAATCCAGTTATTTTGTGTGAGTAGTAACTAAAGCATGCGGTTTATACAGGGGACATTGACAGTTCAGCATACTTGGAATTTTGAAGTAAATTGTAATGTGCTGTGTGAACTTGATTCTTGTAACAAAAACTCGCTTGCATCATTAGTAGAATGTTACTGACGTTCCCAAATCTGCTTCTCCATGTTTATACAGTAAAAAGGTGCTTATACTGAATCATGTTAAATGCCTACAAGCCATAAAGTTTGGATATTCTTTAATGCGTATGTTTATCATTCCGGATTGGCTAGTGCACCATGGCACTGGAATTTTCATCTACTGATGTAGTTGCTTATATTATTTCAGATGCATATTCTGTGTTTTTATCAACTAGTTCCAAAAAGTTTTGCAAAACAGCAAGAATTGTTACAGTGCTGGTTATTCTTATATTTTTGTTTGAGTTTTATTTCGGATGTTTCTATCCCAATTGCACATGGATGCTCCCTCTTTCTCTATATACATTTATTTCTTTCAGGCGCACCTATGTTGGAAGTATGCCTGGCAGAATAATCAATGGACTGAAGACTGTTGGGGTTAACAATCCAGTATTCCTATTAGATGAGGTTGATAAACTGGCAAAGAGCTTGCAGGGGGATCCTGCAGCAGCCTTGCTTGAGGTAAGAGATGTTAAATCACAAGCACTGTTTCATTTGTAATTAAAAAGAACTGAAATACTGGGCTCAGAAAGGAGGATTCACTGGACAAAAGATAGGATGAGAATGTCAGCTTCTTCAATCAAATACCTCCTACTATATTTTGACTTTGGATTTCTGTCAATTGCTTGCGCACAATGCAAATTTTGTTAGATAGTATGCTGAATATCTTTAGTCTCAGGGATCTATGCTTAAACACAAATAAGTGTTTTATGCTAAGTGTTTTGTATATTTAAAGACTCTTCAGATTAAACATTACTTATTTGTGGGACTTCAGGACATTGATTTTTAATGACCAGATGCTGTTAGCCATAGGAAAGAGCTGGAGAGCAGCCAGATGGTAGCTGGAATTTTTCAAGCTTTCCGTCTATTGCTTGAAAAAATTTAAATGTATTTCTGAAGCTTTTGATGGTACAAACTTATATTGGACGTAAGCATTTTATCTAGCATGTAGTCTAGACTACTTGTGTGGTTTTTTAGCAGCAGTTTTTAAATTAGTGTTGTAATTAACTTTCTGAAGTTTTCCATTTAAGTCATGGATCCCCATCCTTGACTGATTATGATGTGGTGTTTGCTTTCCATGAGATTCAGCTATGAAGTATGTTTTTTTCTGAAATTCTGAGACTTTGACAAAGAATGTGGATGAATCTAGTTTTGAAGTATGGGGTGGTGTTATCACAAAGAGTTTAGAGGTGTTAAAGCTGACTTGCTTAAAGTCAAGTGAAATCTATGAGATACAAATAAAGACTTTGGTGAATGAGGTACTGTTGCTATATTTTGTAAGTCCCTCAACTGTTGTGAGGTTAAGTAGGTTACTTCTTGGAATTTCAGGAGGCTAAACTTAAGTGATTACAAAGAAGATGAATCGAGATCTATGCCTTGCAGACTTCATGTGTCCGAGGAGTCTGTAGCAGAGCCGTAATGAGTTGCCAGAACCTTCTTTCTGCCTTTTTTTTTTTCCCTGGAGTAAGATCATAGAATCGTAGAACAGTTAGGGTTGGAAAGGACCTTAAGATCATCAAGTACCAACTCCCCTGCCATGGGCAGGGACACCTTGCTCTAAACCATATCACCCAAGGCCTCGTCCAACCTGGCCTTGAACATTGCCAGGGATAGAGCATTTACAACCTCCCTGGGCAATGTATTCCAGTGCCTCACCACCCTAACAGGAAAGAATTTCCTCCTTATATCCAATCTAAACTTCCCCTGTTTAAATTTTAACCCATAACCCCTTGTCCTGTCACTACAGTCCCTAATGAAGAGTCCCTCCCCAGCATCCCTATAGGCCCCCTTCAGATACTGGAAGGCTGCTATGAGGTCTCCACGCAGCCGTCTCTTCTCCAGGCTGAACAGCCCCAACTTTCTCAGCCTGTCTTCATATGGGAGGTGCTCCAGTCCCCTGATCAACCTTGTGGCCCTCCTCTGGACTTGTTCCAACAGTTCCATGTCCTTTTTATGTTGAGGACACCAGAACTGCACACAGCACTCCAAGTGAGGTCTCATGAGAGCAGAGTAATGGGGCAGGATCACCTCCTTTGACCTGCAGGTCACACTCCTTTAGATGCAGCCAGGATACAGTTGGCTTTCTAGGCTGCAAGTGCACACTGAAGCTGGATCATGTTCATTTTCTCATCGACCAGCACCCCCAAGTCCTTCTCCACAGGGCTGCTCTGAATCTCTTCTCTGCCCAGCCTGTAGCTGTGCCTGGGATTGCTCTGACCCAGGTGTAGGACCTTGCATGTGGCATGATTAAACTTTATGAGGTTGGCATCAGCCCACCTCACAAGTGTGTTGGGGTCCCTCTGGATGGCATTCCTTCCCTCCAGCATATCAGCTGAACCTCACAGGTTGGTGTCATCGGCAAACTTGCTGAGGGCGCACTCAATCCCATTGTCCATGTCAGTGACGAAGATGTTAAACAAGACTGGTCCCAGCACAATCCCTGAGGGACACCACTCATTACTGGTCTCCAGCTGGATATTGAGCTGTTGACCAAAACTCTTTGTGTGCAGTCATCCAGCCAGTTCTTTATCCACCGATCCACCATCAAAGTGATATCTTTCCAATTTAGAGACAATGATGTCGTGTGGCACAGTGTCAAACGCTTTACACAGGTCCAGGTAGATGACATCAACTGCTCTCTCGCTGTCCATCAGTTCCATAGCCCCATCATAGAAGGCCACCAAATTGGTCAGGCAGGATTTCCCCTTAGTGAAGCCATGCTGGCTGTCATCAAGCACCTTGCTGTTTTTCATGTGCCTTAGCTTGCCTTCCAGGAGAATCTGCTCCAAGCTTTTGTCAGGCACAGAGGTGAGACTGACTGCTCTGTAATTCCCCGTGTCATCCATTTTTCCCTTCTTGAAAATGGGGTTATATTTCCCTTTTTCCAGTCATCAGGAACTTCACCTGACTGCCATGATTTTTCAGATACGATGGTCAGTGGCTTAGCAACTTCATTCGCCAGCTCCTTCAGGACCCGCGCGTGGATTTCATCAGGTCCCATGGACCTGTGCATGTTCAGGTTATCAGGAAGATAAATGAAGATATCCCAGCACAGTTTCTTCTTCTACTGACTCGCATGTTCAGTGGTTTTATTCTAACAGTTTGCTAGAAGGAGGAAAGAGCATCTTCTCAGGTATGGGGAAAAGAAAACGTTACCCTTCTCCAGCATCTTAGTGCAGAAGGCTGTGTACATCCTCATGTGCTAGCACTGATGATGAGGAAAGGAAGGAATGAGGAAGGTCATGACATAGCAAGGCTGGCTTAGCCTGAAACGCATGAGGTTGTCTAGAGCAGGTGTAGCACAAGTGCACTTACTGGTTTTGGTATTGTGCACATTTAGATTTCCTTATATTGCTGCATTTTTACACAGATTATCTCTCTTTTATGTCTTCTCTGACTATAGGGGCTACTTTCCTATCAGTGTTCCAGTTCAACTGCTTATGCAATTGTTCTTTACCTGTTTCAGTCAAAAGGAGTTGGTTTAGTGAACGATATTTATCCAGTTGTTTTGAGTGAGTCTGGTTCACTTTCACTGAAATAATTTAGGGCTTAATCCTTGAAGCATCTCAATTGTTAGACTTAAATTGTGATAACTTCTATAGCTGGGTGATTGTAGGTGGGGATAAAAGTGGTTCTGGTAATATTTGCCTACAGAGTCATCCTAATGACTCTTTTTGACTGACAGTACTTAATATAGTGATTGGAATATGAAAAATGCTACTTACATTAAGGTGTCATGAGCTCATCTGTGTGACTTTCTGCAAATGAAATGACAATTCACATTCTACAAATGTCATTATTTTCTTCCTACTTGATAGTGTAAAATTACTGTTTTGACAAGGCCAACTAGGTCTTTGAAAGTCAGTTTATGAACAGGGTATGGTTTGAGAGCTCTGTTTTGATCTTTGCATGTTAACATGAGCTAGTAATAATTTAAATGTGCAAGAAAATAGCATGGCTTTATTTTTCTAGCTTTTAAAATATGACAGTTACGGTTTTTTACTTGGATATTTGTAAGTATGTAGAACACATTTCGAGGGTAGATGAACAGTTTCTAAGTACAAGGAAAACAAACAGGTCAGTGTAACAAATACTCAAACACATTTTCTTTGTACTTTTCACTTGTGAGATATTATTTACTCTTCGCTGTCAATGGTAATGAGCTCTGTTTCTCAGTTTGCTGATATTTCTTGTAATTTCCCTTTAGATACTGAACTAAGCTGGCCTAAATTTAGTCAATGCATGGATAAAAAATAGCTGAAAATTGAATTTTATTGGCTGCCTGTTGTTTGTAGGCAATCAAAATCCATAATGAAGCAGTGATTTGTCTTTTCTTGGAAGAGAATAATTTTTTAAAAAATGTTCCAATCGTGAATCCAGATTGGTACACTGATGTTGCTGGTTTTATTCAACCTTTGCTGTTTCTTTTAATGAATTTTTAATTCCCTGTTTTGCAGCAGAGAATTGGTATTTCTGTTCTTCCATCATGTCAAGTGTATAAGGACAAATGAAATTAATTTTTTTCTAAATTATCTGTGTTTGAATTTTTGATACTTTGTTGCTGCTTTGGGATGTTTCCATTTCCCATATTCTAAAACCACACTTTCAGTGATTATTCAGCTCAGCTCTTGCCATGAATTTTTCCAGCTGACATTTGTAAGGTTAGCTTCCAGCTGTCTGCTTGGGCTGCAGTGTGTATGTGAGTCATTGCTAATCGACCATTAGATTAATCTGGAGAAGTAATTGCTCTATTAACCATGTCTGGGCTGCTCCCATGTGAGATCTGTATATTCGTACTGCTGCCGAGACATCCTGAAGCAGGTGCTTTACCTCCTCTAATGGAGAACTCATGCCTGGACATAACAGCTTAATTTTCATCTGCTTTTTGTAGTTTACATTGTGGTTGGAAAGTCCATCTGGAGCGAGCAAAGGTGGGGAACAAACAATAGTAAGCGGTCACCTAACTGACATGTTTGTTTTTCAGAAGGCAGCTTCTTGTTTGGTGAGTGCCATCATTATGCAAAAAAGGAACATCCTTTTTTTTGCATAATGTTTGGTGTGTTAAATTCTCACTGACTGTCTACAGTGGGATATATTCAAGAAGAATATTGCTATATCCTGTAAGATTGGATGCAAAACTTGATGTTTTATAATTTGGATATGTGTTTAGTTCTAGTGCTTCTGCAGAGTTGTTGCTTAAGCAAAGCAGAATATCTTCCTATTTCCAGTTACTGTTCATCAACAAGGGAATATTTTAGACTAAATTTAGATGACCTCTGTTTAAAACAGAAGAAGCCAGAAATGGATCCAAGTGCTTGATAGTGAGTGTTTGTATGCAGGGAAATTAGACCAGGAGCATAGCCAGGCAATTAAATGTTCATGGAACTTGTTTTGGATTTCATGGTAATAAAAAGCTGGTACAGAGAAGCCTTTGTATGCATGTGAGCTGTTGGCCATAAATTAGCCAAGATATTTCATTTGTTCAATGTTCTTTTTCTAATATTTTTGTATTACTTTAATTTCTTTGAAAACTTTTGATCTTGAACTTTAGCACAGATACCGAACTCAAGAGCAGTTCTATTCGCTTTGGAAAATCTCTTAAATGCTTAGGCATGATACTGGTTTATGTCTTATTCTAAGAAATGGTTGCCATGACAAAGAATTATTAGTCCAGACAGACTCTCACCCTTGTAGAAAATCTCAGATAATTCACATTTTTAGGTATAATATGTGTTGGTTTTGATTACTGTTTCCCTTTATTTGATAGTATTGTTTTCACATGATTAAAGCATCAGTATTTTGTATACCTTTGTAAATGCTGTTATAATCACCAGCTCAGCACTTAATAGAATCCATAAGGATTTCTGATTGCAGACAGAAAGAGAAAGAGATAAATGTGTGTAGATAAATGTGATAAAACCCCCCAACTTGGTCTGCCAGAATACATTGTTTTTTTTCAGGATCTTTGGAAGTAGTTGCAAATGCTTCAGCTAATAGACTTGAATTTTGTGGAAATACTGTATTATCAGTGTAAAATAAAAGAAGGGGAGGGTAAGTTTCATGAGGATTTGCTGTTTAAATCAATTTTGAAGAAATTATGAGAGTAGCCTTTGGGTGAGGGACTAACACTTAGTATATATCTACTTTCTTTGAGGACGGTTTGTAGATGCTGTGATTAGATACACTGCCTGTTGTGTCCTTCTGCATTTTAGGGCTAGACTGTGGGACTAGTTGAGGTAAGAGACATCTGTAACTCTGAATTATGCATCAGTGTACTTGGCTAGTCAGAATACTTCAAGGCCTTTGCCTTCATCAGTAAAGAAGGGAGTAAATGATACCATCTGCTTGCTGAAGAGCATAAGAAGCTTTTGAATAGCTTATAGCTAATGAACAATAGCATTCACTGAGTTCCAACTTTAGTTTTAGAATTTAGGCATATGCTTCAATTTGTTTTTAAGATTTTGCTATGAAGGAGAACATATAACTTGTATTTTATTACAGTTGAAATACACTTTCAAGTATTAGTCTTAAATCTATGCAGTACTTTCAGATAAAATCAGAAATTGTTCCGTTTTAAAAGAAGTTCTACTATGTTTCTGGCATTCTATTAAAAAAACACCTTTTACTAGTTTTTTGTGAGTAGAAAATATTTCTGTTCTAAAGATTTTTAACTTTTCAAAGACTGAGCAGATTTTGAGAGTAATGAAAATTCAGGGTAGTTTCTCTCATAACCAGCTAAGAAGTGCTCAGATTCCAGTTTTTAGAATTATCAGCACTGTTGTTGGCTGTAATTCAAGTTGCTTAAGACAAGGGGTGCATTCATTTGGGTATAGGCAGATAAATTATTTTGACAGCACTGTGTTATTTCTCAGGAGATGCATAGGTCCCATTATTTGTAACATGAGAGCTATTCATGTCAGTGTAGCTTTGATAATTCATCATTTGGGAAGGAAAAGTGTGACAGTACTTTAAGGGGGGTGGCATAAAGGTGGGTCATAGGTGGTAATATAGAAACCAAATGTAGATTGCTGTATCAACTTCCAATTTTCAGCACTGTTAAAGAACTTACAAGAGAGCTCCTGTGATTGATGTATATAGTTTATCACCTAATGCAGAAAATCAGCTTATTCAGTGAAGAGCTTAAATACATGCCAGTGTTGCCTTAGCGTACAAAAGTAGTACTAAAACCAAGAGGAAGACTATACTATTATTTAAGCTATAGTTCTACTTGTGGAGTAAATTTTTGACGTTGGTCAGACTGATTGGTATATTTTGTTATTCTCTGTTATGCTCCAGTGCTTGTTTAGTATTGTCTCCATTTTCTAATATTGTCTCCATTTTCATCTGGGGAGAAAACAAAAATGCAGGCTTTCATGCAGTGTCATGGGCAATAAGAAAAGCTCCTAGTACTGCATTACCAGTAAAAGGCTGGACAAAGCTGAAGGAGTGATTTAGTGGCAGCTGATAAGGATATTCTTCGCCTTGGTTTTCACAGATTTCAAGCTGGTGTGCTTAGAGTAAGAAGAGTTACAGCAGCAGATGAGGATTGGAGTCAGAGGGTTCTTGAGAGAGTTCTACTGATACAAGTCCATGGGACTACATGGACTGCTTTTCCAAGGGTGCTGAGTGTCCTTGAAAGGCCACTCTCTACCAGCTGTGAAAGGCCATGGAGTTGGCCATAGGCGGTGACTGGAGATACGCTGCAGCCATCTTTAGAAAAGGGTAAAAAGAATGAATGGGAAAATGACAGGGTTTTTTTGCATATGGTGTGGAATATTGTTACAGAGTAATCAGAGTGAGGCAGGATTTTGGGGGTCAGGTTTTAGTAATACTCGTAACATATTTATGAATGTGAAGTCAGATTTGACATATCTGAAAGAAATATAATAAAATGTGCATATTTTATTTACTTCTAATTCAGCAACTAAGTCAGTTTTGTGTTCACTCTTGTTAAGGTCTTGGATCCAGAACAAAATCACAGTTTCACCGATCACTACTTAAATGTAGCTTTTGATCTGTCTCAAGTCCTTTTTATAGCTACAGCCAACACCACAGCTACTATACCGCCTGCTCTGCTGGACAGAATGGAAGTTATTCAAGTTCCAGGTACCAATACAGTGTTTTCATTAGAGTGGCTGTTGCAAGTCCTTAAATAATATTGGGATGTTTTTTTCTGAAATGAAAGCAGTTCCTTAAAGTAAGTCTGCCAGGAATCTAGGCTGGCCAGAATCATTAGAAGAGACTAGTCAGGATGCCTCTGTTAGGCCTCTGCCACCAGAAGGAAGTTCAGTTGTAGGTGTATGGAGATAGATACATTCTATAACAATATTTTTACTAGTTAATGTGTTAGTACTCTAACTGGCTATTGCCTAATGCATCTTTTCAAGATTCCTGTGAAGAAAAGGATTATTGTAACACTAAAATTCTGTTCTTCATGTTCACATGAAGTTATGAATAACCATGAAATATCATACCAACAAGCCTTTTAAACTATAGCTGAGGTCTTTTTGTTAAATTGAAACAGGTACAATTGTAAATGGTAAGAAATTTGATTATAGTAGTGTATAAGCAAAAAACATTAGAAACATATGTTTTTTCTTTTGAAGGATACACACAAGAAGAAAAAGTTGAAATTGCACATAGACACTTGATTCCTAAACAGCTTGAACAACATGGCCTGACTCCACAGCAAATACAGATTCCACAAGTAACCACTTTGGACATAATTACCAGGTAAATCTATTATTCATTGCTTTAAGTATCTTCTTTTTTTCTAGTAACTAGTAAATCATTGTTCTGCTGACAGAGAGGGTACGCCACAAAGCGACCGCACACTAGCTGTGTAATATGTGGAGTCTATTAAACAATCATCCTAAAGCCAATAAGCACACTAAAAGCAAGCACACTAATGTGAATTAGGTAAATATGTCTCTTTATATATAGTGAATATGTACAGTAAGACAAATCAGAGATACAGGCATATAAGTAAAGTACCAAAGAAAGTTAGCAATGCATTAGATCATTACTGTATAGAGAGAATAGAGATTAAGAAGGAATACATCAGCAATTACCACTGAATCATAATCCAGGCCTACACTTCCAGCTGGGAAGCCTCATTGCAGCCAATGCCAGGAGTCTCAGGTAATTGGGAAAATTCCAGTGCGATGCATCCACCCATAGGTGAGGCTTCTTCTGTGGTGACAGGAGGGTCCTGCTTTTATACCCTGATCAAAACAACCAGCTTTATGCCAGATTCTAATCGTTTACTTGTGGGACCGTGCAGTTTCTTATGATCTCACCTTTGTCCACTCTGAGAGCGCTGGCCAGGCGCCCCTTTGCGGCCAAGTATGAAGGTCATAGAACAGCTGCGCACCTATGTTTTTCTGCCTCTTTGTGACAAACAGTCACAATGAACGCAAACATATGAATTTTGATCTATGTCATTTTCATAGAAAGTATTGAAGTTACTGTTTTGTTTCTTGTGACCTGATGGGCCACAGTTGTCTAAAAGTTGGAATTATGTAGAAGCTATTCATACAGACTATTCATACAAACTATTTAGTTTGTATGAATTAGAGCTACTTTTTTGTTGGACATGAGAGCAAAGACTGACCAGAACATCCTTTGACTTTAAACTACCTTATTTCCAATTAATTAAGCATTTTATGACCAGGAACAGCATTTTGGCAGTTAGTGAGTGTTATTGTCTGGGGTTTCTTTCTAATTCATAGACTAAAAGAATTGAAAAAGATCTGAGAAGGACTCAGTGCTATTGGAGCATTGTTTAGCATTTCACTTGGCACGAGCCGTTGGACGTGTCTTCTTCCTATTCTTTGTCTTTCTTTAAATTTTTTTAACAATTTTACCAGCAAATCACAATTATTTTGATAAAAGCACATGATATTTTTTTCCTGTTTATCCTGAGTATCCTGGTTTTCCTGAGTATCCCAAGGTCTCACTGCCTTTCACATCTCATTTTATTTGAATATATTTTTTAAAAAGAAATCATGTTTATATTTAAAAGATTTCTCTCTTACAAAGCACATCCACCAGTAAAACATTTGCCTCTATGCTAGATACACTAGAGAGGCAGGAGTCCGCTCTCTGGATCGGAAGCTGGGAGCTATTTGCAGAGCAGTGGCAGTGAAAGTGGCAGAAGGACAGCACAAAGAAACAAAGCCAGATCGTGCTGAAGTGGGTGAAGAAGGTAGGTATCTTTTGAATGTTTCATTAGAAAGGAAGCTGCTAACATAGTCACTAAGATGCTGATTTATCAACCTTTTCTGCTTTTTTATGGTTCTTTAAGGGCTCTGTTTTCAAAATGTTTGCAACTAGAGGGACATTCTTACTAAACATGGTTCAGGTAGTCCTAAATTAAGGCTTGGGATATAAGTAGAGTAATTTCAGCCTGCCAGGTTGGTAATTGGGAAGTACAATGGATCTGTTTCATATCTTAGGTATGCAGTCATGATTTGTGTATGGTTTTGTCTTCCTAGGCTTTTTTTCACAAATATTTCAATATCTTTTTTTTCTTTAATAGAAGACTAAGCATGGCTTTAGTTACTGTATTCAAAGCAGTTCCTTACCTGTGGTATGCATGGTCTACCAGCTCAGAAATCAGAGTGTTTTGTTGTACTCTAAATGTCTGCTTGAAGAGCTGTGGAATTAGAAAGGTGTAGGTTACTTCAGTGTGTGTGTTCCGGTTTCTTACGTATACAGACAGTAGTGATTTATCATTCCCAGTCACCCAACAGACTGAGTGAAAACTAAACATAGAATAAAGATACTCAGGTCATTTCTTTGTCAATAAAGGTAGACCTCTTTCTATTCTTGCAATAGAAGGGGTGAAGGAAGAAATCAGGCCCATAATCCAGTTCATGTGCAACATTCAGCTGGTGACTGCTCTCTTTTCATCCCCAAATTAGTGTTCTCTTTTATAAAAACCGACATCTCTACTGTGTTTCTTGAAACATAACATACAGAGCAGAGACTGTTGTGCTTTTATTCCAGCCAGTTGCTGATGGAGGATCTTGCTGTGTACAGCAGTTTTATGTTGAAGGCTTCAGGGTGCTCACTGCAGCAACAGGTGTTGTCAGGAGCCCTCAGTTCAAGGTGATGATAAATGTGAAAGGACAGAATCCAAACCTGAAATTGAACTTTTAAAATGTGGCTAGTCCTTAGTCTCAATAAAATCTAGCGAGCAGGGTGTCAGAGATTTGGTTGGTTTGTTTTTCAAAGACTGCAGTGACTCCAGCTGTTACTTCCTAACAAGAAATACTGCCAGCCCGTCAGAGAATAAGTGTCCCAGAGGACACCGGAAAGCAGAAACTGCAGAATGGCTGCTTACTTTAGCTCCAGAATACTCACAAACAAAATACTGAACACCCCTGTTGGTTTGATGTTGTGAAAGATTCTGCAACATAACCGGTGTGGAAAAAACCTTTAACATCTTGTTGTGGTTTAAGCCCAGCCGGTAACTCAGAGCCATGCAGCTGCTCGCTCACTCCTCACTTCTTCCTCCGCCTACTCCCAGAAGGATGAGAAGGAGAATCCCACAGGTTGAGAAAAGAGCAGTCCAGTAACTAAGGTATAACACAAACCACTGCTGCTACCACCAGTCGTAATAATGATAAGGGAAATAACCAGGGAAGGGAATACAACTGCTCACCACCCACTGACCGATACCCAGCCCGACCGTAGCAGCGACCTAGCCCGTCCAGGTAACTGCCCCCGGTTTATATACTGGGCATCACTGCTGTGGTATGGAATACCCCTTTGGTTAGTTTGGGTCAGGTGTCCTGTCTCTGCTTCCTCCCAGCTTTCCCTCCTCCGTGGCAGAGCATGGGACTCAAAAAGTCCTTGGACAGACTAAATATTACTGAGCAACAACTAAAAACATCAATGTTATCAGCGCTGTTCTCAGGCTGTCAAAAACACAGCACTGCACCAGCTATTAAGAAGGAGAAAAATGACTGCTACTGCTGAACCCAGGACACACCTGTATGGCTAGAGTAGTTCTGGACTGATACAAAAGACAAAAATAAGGAGACTAATCTGTTCCTTTGAAATAAGGCAGCACATAGGTCTGAATGGCGCCCCCCCTTTCTGAGAGTAAATCCTGAGGGAGAAAGTATTACTGATGCTTGTACAAACAGGGGTATTAATTAGTATAGTATAGGAAGAGTTTTACCCATAGTAAAACGTTTTGTAATTTGTTTCTGGAAATCTGTTTATTGACAGATTCAGCTTTACCATGCCTTTTTTCTCCTCAGTCGGTATTTCCCTTCTGAAAATTAAATCTTGTTTTACCTTGTTGAGTTTTCTAAGATCATGATAACACCTGTGGAAAGTGTAACATTGGAAGATGGAATTTGGTCTCCAAAACAGTTTCTGCTTAAGTGGATTGATCTCAGCTTTCTCTAAATGTTTGGCTGAAGGGAAGTCTATTCCTACTATGGCTGTGCATGTGTGAATGACTGCAGTTTAAAAAGTCCCATTGACATTAAAAGGAAGAGCTTTTAAGACATCTTTATTAATGCTTTCTACATATATTATGTAAATCTTGTCAACCTTCTCTCCTCTGTGCTGGGGAAGTCGAACACAGTTTGTCGGTTCTTCTGTGATACCTGAAGTCGCTTTTGAAGCAGAATGCTGAGCTGAGCCTTTGGGCTGTGGTGGCCAGGGTTGCTAGCATCGAGCAATATCAGGTGTCTTTGCTACTGTCACTTTTTTGATAGTAATTTCGGCAAGTCATGTTTTTAAAGTATTTCTTTGCAGTGAAGGGTATCTATGTCTAAAGTGGGCTTAAAAGGTCTAACATGGTTGCTGAATTTATAAAAAATAAGTGTCATTCTGCTGTTCAGCCCTTCTGGTAAAATAAAGGAAGAGTTTCAGAGCACAGATCCTGGTACTATAAGAAGAAACATTTTATTATTAAAGCAAAGAACAAAAAAGAACTGTATTAGACATCTCAATCCAGTGAGGGAGGTATTTACAATGTTAAAATTAGCACTGTACTTGCAACTTAGGTATTTACACTGTTAAAATTATACTCTGTTAAAATTAGTACTGGACTTGGAACTTACCAAAGCAAAGTGAAAACAGAAAGCTAAATGCTTCAAAAGAGGGCACATGCTAGCTAATTTGGGTGACACACAATCTGGAGTAAACCCAGAAGAAATGAACTGTGAAGAGTTGCCTTTGTATTTCTGGAATTGAAACTTTCCATTAGAAAAAGCTGCATTAATAAAAAGGAGTCCAAGGGACAGGTGGCTCTATAGTTAAAGGTTGGCATTAAGAAGACATGTATAGAATGGTACAGTCTGCAAAATGTGTTTTCTTTTGTACTAGTAATATGCTTTATACCCTGCTGTATTTTTAGCTGAATATGTCAGTTGTTGGGAGTGTATGAGAGTAGGACACTGTTAAAAATATTTTTGTTTAGTTTTCATTCAGTCTGTTGGAAACAACGAAGTATTTAAAACAAAGCTCAGAAATAGCCCCAAGTGGTTGTGAGCTGATACAAATAATGGGATTTGTAACCTAAATTTATTTCTTTGGGTTTCTATTTCCCTTGGATTAGTGGACATTTGTGCAGTTGTGCATAGTGATGATGAATTTTTATTTCATATAATGAATGACTTTGGAAGAATTGGTAATCAAGTTGTTGTCTCTTAGTAGTTTCATTTAGAATGTTTTCTTGATTTTTTTTTCTATATAAAAAGACCTATAAGCCTTTTTTTGCTTTACACATTTGTCAGTTACTGATGTGGGATCAATACTCTACATTCAGTGCATTCATATATCATGAGTGGTGAATATGTGAGAGCAAACTACAGTCTTGCCTTGTAGATTCCTACTTGCTAAAGCATAATGTATGTATGATTCGTAGCATATCAGGTTAGTAACATGGTGCCTATTTTGTTTGTTCAGCTGAGTGCCTTCTGTCTTGTCGGTTTGTAATAGAAGTTGAAAGACATTAGGTGGTAGAACTACAACATTTCCATCATTACATTGTTTAGATCAGGTTATGAACTCAAAGTGGAGCATGTGTTTTTGAGGTTTAATAAATATTGGGCTTTTGACATTGTTTGATTTATAGGCTCTAAAAATGGAGGATACCTGCCACAGCAGAACTGATGTTAGGAGATATGCTGTCAAAACATGTTTAGCACCTTCCAGAACTGCGTGACTGAAATACACTGGCAGCTTTATATTGCCTTTCTGGCTCCTTTGACTCCTGAGCTGTACAATGAAGTTGGCAAGTGGAGGAGTGTTAGTTTGCATCGGTCGTTGAATTTGTACAGTGAACTTCAGCAGAAGCAAATGGAGTCATTTTTCAGACTTCTCCAGGGAGTCATCCTTGTGTACAGTAACACTATCTGATATTTTACTGAAACACTGAGATTTATTAGACGCTCATCCTGGTTTTGACACTATAAGAAATTCTAGGCGTCACAGAGAGATGTGAAACTCTGCTTCCTATTTTAGTTCAACTGCCTTGAGAATACAGTTCAGCAGCTGTGAATTAGGACACCATGTCATGATGCAACAGTTGAAACTCAGAGTGAAAAATGATTTGCCTAATTCAGACTTGAAAGGAGGTTTAGGATGGGTAATATTTAATAACTACAAGTGATTAAATGAAGATTCAATCTATGTTGAAACCAAGGCTTTAAAAATACTTCAATAACCTGTTAATACAATACAGTTTGTTCTGCTCTTTGTGAATGAAACACTTGGTTGTGAGTTTAAATGTAAGTTTGACTGAAGTGGTCAGTGTGGTCAATGTGAAGTGAAACATGAAGTCTTTATGTTCCCTTACTCAACTTGAGCATGATGCATTTTATTTGCAAAACGTTATGCATGACTTGGGGAGGTGGGGGTGATGTTTACTTGGTTTTAGTAGTTTCAGAAACTTAACAGAGCTGGGCTATCATCACTGCTCCTGCAAAAAGTGACCAGCCAGTTCAGTATTCTAGCCGAAACAGCACTTCCAGCAGCACAGGATCTCCCACAGCACTGGGAAATGAGTGTATGAAACCTGAGCAGCATAAATCCCACAGTGGTATGACGGAAGACATTCAAGTTTGAGCTCAGCTGTGCTGGCATTAGTGTGCTTACCCGCTCTTCAGACTCTAATATGTGCCTCTTTCTAAAAATTACTTGGAATGATGTTGCTGGGTTTGGCCAAAGAGACATAAATGTTATGTAAAATTGGAGTTATACACAAACTATTTTTTTTACCATGTTATCTAAAAAACCCCAAAATCCCCAAATCAAGTGCTTCAAGTACATGTTGTACTAGATAAGATACTAGATAAGAATTGATGGAGTATAATTATTTTGTGAAAACAGAAATTTTCTGATCCTGTGGGGAAAAATGCACGTAGCATTAAATTGAAGTATACAAGTAAGTGTTATTAGGATTAGGGTCCCAGGAAGGTGTTTCTTTCCACAAGAAAGTCTTTTGGAAGTACACTTCCCAAGTATGTAGTGCGTGAGATTTAGTTCAGGCAAGGGAAAGTTGCTTTTAAGATGCAGTTTTGTGTTAGCCCTGGCTTTGAATGTGGACTGTTGTCAGTAAGGACAGTCCCATCCTGTCTTATCTAAATGTAGTTTTTGTGGAGTTTGTTTGGAGGGGGTAAAACAATTCTGGATCTGTCTGTTGTGTGCTGGAGCATCTGCTGCTGTATCAGCTAAGAAAAAAACATGCTATTTTCCCTCTGATTGGCCATAAACTTGAAACTTCTTTCATGCTTATGTTCTTACACCTCATAGCAATTTAGCAAAAAAAATTTAGGTTTCTATTATATTCTGCTATCTTGGCCAGCAAATATGGCTAGAAATCTTTGGCTTTAAGACTTATATATTGCTAGTGATTAATTTAAGTATGATTTATGAGGAGCTGAGAAATTGCTACATGTTGAGGAAGTTTTAGGCTCTCCCCTTCACTCATTTCCATTATATCTCTAGAAGAAAGTAGCAGTCTTAAATTCTTAAATATTTGTGCCATGGAATTCCTTTTTAGATTAAATCTTGAATTATATATAGTAGCTCAAAGCCAGCATGTTTTCTTAGCAGTCCATTTTCCAACAAATGCAGTATTTACATTTAAGACTTAAGTGTTTTCGGAACTTGCAAAGGCAGATTCCTGAGGAACATTGCTGTGACCTTTGCTAAGCAGCTGCAGATTCTGCTTTAAAAATTTTACAAACATTGCCTTTTTTTGTTGTTGTTGTTGTTTCTGGTTTTTTGGGGGGGGGGGGATTTTTTTGTTTATTTTTGGCAGGAGGGGTGTTTGCTGATTTGTTGGTTGGGGGGTGATGGTGGTTTGGGAGATTTTGTTTATTCTGCTCCCTCTCAGTTTTTACATGTTTAAAAAACTCAGTACCATACAGCTTTTGTTGAAGCAGCAAAGCAATAGTCGATCAGCAGGTGGTTCCTCCAGTGCAGTGTAGAGCTCTGTTAAGGGCACTTCTTTGACTCTTCAGCTTATTTCTCTACCTTAACGCAAAATGTAAGATGATTGAGCTATGTTCTTAACCAAAAGTTCTGTTTCTGGAAACTTGAATTTAACTGTCTTATTTTAGATGAGTGTGTCGTATAACTTCTGCTGTGGATTACATCTGTTCATCTGGGATAGGTAGGGAACATATATTTGTCATCATTAATGGAAATCTTAATCACTTGCATCTTTTTAGACTCTTTGTAGGCAGCAATTCTATAAAGTTTGTGAATGAAAATTTTTTTCCTTCAAAAAGTTTGTGTCTGTAATGGTATTTTGGAACATCACTGTATGCTTTTATAGAAAATTAGATAATGTCAGAATTTACTTTCATATTTTTAGAAAAAGTCTGGAGTTTCCTATTGTTACAGATTATAAAATGGGGTGTATTAATTAGATTACATAAACTCAAAATGTTTCTGATTCTTAATAGGGCAGGCAGCCTCAAAATTACCTGCTGATGTGTTTATGAGAAGTCTGTCTCCTTCAGCTGTATATGTAGAATTAGGGAAATAAGAGCAAGCAGAAATGGAAAACAGTGTTTGTTAGATGGTGAAATCTTGGTATAGAACAAAAGCACTTGGTTTTAAATTCCATTTTGGTGTAAGATATGAATTGTACTGTCAGATTACTCTGGTTTTGAAGATCCAGAGTGTTGAAATTGCAATCTTGAATTGCAAGAATAGCGTGTGGGGTTATGTTTTCTAGTCTTGCTAGCATTTATGTATTTGAATTTATTATGTACAGAAATAGTAATTCAACAAAAAAAGAGACATGCTGGAACAACAGGAGGGCCATCTGACTAAAGTAGTGTTTACAGTAAAGGAATGGGATTTGTGCATGCAGCCATGAGCTGTACGACAGAAAGATTAGTGGCTGTTGGAGAATTACTGTTAGATTTGAGTCCTGAATAAAAGCTGAGTTGGCGTTATTTGGTAATAGTGATGTAGAATGTTTTCCTTGATAGTGTGTGAAGGCATTAGTGAGAATTGCACTGGAGCAAAATTAACTGTAAAAAGGCCTTTATATATCATGGTTAATAAAAGGATAGTTGTATCTTGTGAAGGAGATATTCATTCTTCATCTACTCTTAGAATCACTTTTGCAGCACAGTACACCTCTTAATGTTATATTAAACAGATTAAATTAACGATCTGTGTTTTTTCTCTAATTGTTTAAATTACTAGATTCAGTTATTGTGCATGCATCAATATGCAAAGGAAGAGAGTTTCTTAGTTTAAAGTAAAATGAATATGGCGCAGAAGTCTTGAAGCTCAGTATACATTCCTGCATAATGTAAACTATCTCTTTAAATGTATCTTAGGCCTGTTTTCTTGGGAGTGGGAAGAAGTATTTTCACTGTATGCTTGTGTACAATGCTTTTCTTAGTGGCAGCCTCAGGGCAAGGAGGCACTGCCATAAAACTGCCACAGAACCTCAGAAACATCTGGATTGTTCCAGTATTTTTCATTTCTCTGATAAATATTTCATGTAAATATTGCTTTGGGCTTTCGAAAATGGTAATGAGCCTTTTGCATCTGGATCAGATTCTGTGGGGAATTGACTCCCTGTTTACATTCTTCTTCTGTATACAGTCACTTAAGTAAATGTGCAGTGTAGGCCTGCTACAAATGATGTTTAAGTTCTTGAGCTTATTCATGCAAACAACCAGCTGTGTAGTCTGGTTTAAAACAGTCCTGAGGCTTTGATATTTATATGGTCCCTGTTATAGTTCACTTTTGTATAGAAAACACATTTGTGGAGAAAACAGAAATTTTAAGGAAATTCTGCAAGGAAACAGTTGTATAGGTAGGAGATACAATCACACTATAATGGAGGAATGAAGGAGCACACTTTTGAATCCGTAAATATTGCTTTAATTATATGGTCCCTTCTTGATGATGCTTGAGCATATTGATGCAAAATATACTTATATGTATATGTATATATATATACACACATATATATGTATCACTTCATGAAGTGTGATTCACACCTGTAGGGATTTCTGAAAATACCTAATAATTCGATCTTTGAGGTATTTTTTGCTGCAAGTGGTTATTGGTCTGGACACCTTACCAGTGTCTCATCCACCAAAGGAAAGAGCAGAGCCCTGTGTAAATATAATATTTTGAGACAAAAGCCATAGATGAAGTAGTTATATGAATATTATTTGAGGTTTTACCACTGAGCAAGGACTGTATATTCTGTGTTCTGAACTGGCTGCTGAGCAAAAAAGGAATGTTGATTTCGTGAATTAAGCAAAGGCCTGGTCTAGTGAAAAATGTCCCTTTGGCTGGACTAGGTGATTTTTAAAGGTCACTTCCAACCCGAACCATTCTATATTTCTATGATTGAGTAAAGCCATAACAGTCATAACAGACAAAAATCAAATTACAGAAGTGTGTCAGTATCTGCAGCACAGGCTGCCATAAAGGTGGGCTGTTCTCTGCTGGGGTAGTGGCTCGTGACAGCCCAAAAGGAGTCAGCACACTGGGGCCCGGTGAGTTAGGCTTCCAGTGGAGCTGATTTCTGGGTGATTTACAAGTAGCAGCTTCTCCTGCACCCTGTCAGCTGGTGTTGAGGGTATGTGTGCATACGGGGATGTGCAGCGGGGAGGTCAGAGCTGTAGTGTTTGCCACTGTGAAAGGAGATGTTACTGAGTGTAATTCAGGCTAGCTGTAAGCAATGCAGCCGTGTGGAAAAGCAGTGTAGGTAAATCTGACCAAAATGCGCCTGCTTAATTTGTCAGATCTTAATTACTAGTATCAGAAGTTAAGCACTGGAGCCCTTGCAGAAGGAGACCACAGACGCACTGTTGTAAACATGTAAAAATAATGGTAGTTACTGAACTATCAGCATTTCCACATTGAGGTCCATATTCTGTATTACACATTACATTAAACATGACCATCTCCTACACATACGGTTTTTGTGTACAAATCTGATGAAAAGTGCAAAGTCAAAAATGAACTAGTGCATTTTACTATTTGACCGTGTTTATAAGTGAGTCGCATCTGTCAGTGCTCTTGATTTAACATCTTTGCTGAACAGTTAAAACATGTTTAATAATTGAGTTTGATGCCATATTATCTTTAGTTTGACAAGATTTTTGTAAAGACGGTTTAAGCACACTTTCATGAATTTTGTGAGCATTTCTTTGAATATTTTATTTTTGTCTGTCACAATTTTTTAAATTCCTGCATCAAGAAATACTGCTACAAATCCTAAATCAGATTTTCTTCCCTTAGATTGCAAAGAGCATGTCACAGAAGATGCAAAATCAGAATCCATTAGTGACACGGCTGACCTGGCTCTGCCACCTGAAATGCCAATTTTAATTGATTTCCATGCTTTAAAAGACATCCTGGGGCCACCCATGTATGAAATGGAGGTAACATCCTCATTTGTTTCTGCTTGGCTGCTGTCTGGTTTGACTAGTTGTCTATTTTATTGCTATTGACTAAGTTTATGCAATACTAACTTTTTAAAATATGTATTAATAACAGCTCTGTATCTCTTTGTGTTCTAGCAAGTGTGTTTCTCACCTAAAGTAGCTTTCATTTTGGTTTAATTCCAGATATGTAAATAACACAATGGCATGACTTACTGTTAGCAAAGATGCCTGCCTGCAGCAGGGCTGAAGAAGGTGGTGGTGTTTTTTCAGTTTATAACAACTTTGCTTTTGTCTGGGTGGTGTTTGGTGGTCTTCTGAAAGGAATCAAAAGTAGAATCCAGGAATCCTGTCTCTGAAGCAGCTGTGTTAAGGACTGTCCCACATACCTCCTTAAAGCCAGTCAGCAATTTTGGGTATTAAAACCATGTCTGTTTTCACCAGAATTTCTCAGACATTCTTTAGATTAACGTGCTGCTTTGCTATTAAAAAAGTTTTATGATCAGCCAGGCACCTCCAGCTTCCTAGTACTAGCCTTGTTCCTCACTGGGCATATTCCAGAACTTTTTCTTTCCCCCATATGTATGTTGCCACAGTCTATGAAAATGCCACCAATAGTTTGTTGTCTTGGGATTCTCTTTTTCACCATTTACATTGCAGTTATTCCCTTCAGGTGCAGGTGAACTAATAAAGGGCAAGTAGTATATAGAACACTAGGACAGGAAACCAGTTGCCGATGGAAAGCTAAATTTTTCTGTCTTTATGCAAGAGAAAAGATCAGTAAACCAGTAAGTTATAGAGAAAATAGAAATGAAGGGAAAACTTCTGAAAGAGATAAAATTCAAACTTTTAGGAACTTTCCTGTGGTAATTTTCTCCTAGATGAGAAAAGCAGACTCCAGTGGGATTTGGAGGACAAAAAGGGAACAAGATACACAGGGAAAGCAGGAGAATATGAATGATTGTTATGGAATAAGTCAGTTTTTAGACCTGAACTGAGGTTTTCTGATGTGAAGATTTTATCACAGTAGAGCTTCTTAATGAAGAGACACAAATGAGGAGACACTTTGGAAGAAGACATTAGTAATATATATACCCAGTAATGACTATAACTGTAACTCTCTCTATACTTTATATATATATATATCCGGTTTATAGTTTTATATATATAAAACTATACCCAGTAATCACACAAGACATTTCAAGGCCATTTTAATTAAGAAGATAGTGTGGCTATATTTCAGCTTGATTTGGGATGACTGTGACCATCAGATCATTTGTGATAATCCTATGGTAATTTTTACTAGCCTATCCACTACCTGGCTTTTAGAAACAATTACTGAAAACCAGCATGTGAGTTTTTTTCAGAGATACAACATTCTATCTGAATTTTCATTTTGAAGTGTGTTACATACTTCAGACGTCTGGTCTTTGGAGCTAAAGCGCTGCAGGATCATTTGGCTTTTAGTGCTTGAATTGCAGGTGCACATAAAGCCATCGTAGTAGATTGAACTTAATATTCAAGGCAGTACTCTGATTTCTGCAAATGGTGTTTATTAGTTTCATGAAGGTGCTAAAAATAAATTGAATTTTGCAAATTTGAACAAAAATTCTGGTCAGTTGCAGTTTTACACCCAGTTCCCAGTCAAGAGTAGAATTAATTCAAATAAATATGAACTTATCACACTTATTAAAAATTAGATTGGAGGCCAAGAAATATGCTAATACATGACTTTCCCTAGAGGTTCTGCTTAGATTAGAACCTTTCTGGAGTTGATTATTCATTTAAATTTGGTAGCATGACTCTGTTGGCAAATAATTTCTGCTGGTTTGTCCTTTTCCTACAGGAGTAGGTAATGCAAATAAAGTTCTTATATTGTGATTCTTAATTCCAAGTATACAAATACAAGAATGCTATGTCTTGGGGTCTTTTGCATGCACAGTTGCCATGAATATGCATATGAGCATTCCATGGATCCGCTGGCCTGTATAAGCTGAAATAAGATTAACGCTATTGGCCTGTTTATCAAAGGTTTTTTAGATGTTTCTGTATTTAGCAGGCAAATTAAGTAGTGCAGAAATAGAACTAGAGATGAATCCACACAGCATCAATTCTCTGAGCAGCTCAGGGTTTATTTTCATGTGCTGTTTGTTGTATTTCTAATAAGCAAATATTTTTCCATACACTTTATGATTTTTCAATGTGAATTGCACAGCCAGCCACGTAATTCCTGCTTTAATGAATTTTCCCAGCTAACCTCTTACGCCTTTGAATTTTGTCAAGTGCCCCCAAGATTCTTTCAGGCTCCTGTGTCAATGACAGGCATTCCAGCCTGGCCAGAGGTGTTTTTTCTGGCTTGTAGTCTGTGGTGTGTCTCTCTCTAGCCTTTAAAGCTTCACCTTTGACCTGCATTTATAATTACTTGAAATAAAGATACAATGGAGGCAGCTGCATGTCAGTACTTGGATGAGAGTGAGCAAATAGAACTAAAAACATGACATGACTTAATTGATCTGTTGTCCTTCAGAGAGTACCTTAAAGTAAGTGATTAGTCTTTTCAGTGCACTGCTTGTCTGTCTATCTTCTTCAGAGGTCTCGCAGCAGAAAGGCAGGACAGAATACTCAGCTCATACTTGTAGGATTAATTAATTTATTACAAATAAATAGTCTTATGTGTCACTTTACAGAACAAATGTAGGAATAAATCACACGGAAGAAGAATCATGACAGTAGGTTACAAGTGTGGGGTTTCTAACATCTCTGGAGCCTGCCTTCCCTCCTTCCTCCCTCCCAGATTACAGCCAAACTGTAGGTCTCATCTACACAAAGTTTCAAGAGCAGACTGATATGTAGCTCTTTTTCCATCATCTAACAGACATGACAAGTCATTCTAATGGAATTTTTAACTGAAGCTCTTTAAAAAGTGTAAGTAAGGATTTTTTTCTAATTTAAATTCCTCTGACTTGTGGGAAGAAATTATTCATTCAGAGGTGCCAGGTTTGTGTGTGTGTGTGTGTGTGTGTGTGTGTGTCTGTGTGTGTGTTCAGGCATTTTCAAGGTTCTTTTCTGAGAACAGTTATCCAAACTGGCAGGGCATTTTCTAGACATATTCCTGTCAACACACATCAGTTACCATTGAGATGAAGAGGCTGCAGAACAGGCAATACAGTCTCTACCAGTGCAGCAAGAGAAGTTCCTGGCCTGCCACTTGGTGCCAAGAATTACGGTTGAAAGGAGATTAGCACTTACTACACACCTGGTTTCTCTTACCAGATCTCAAGTTACTTGTGAAAATAGGAGGAGGTGTCTACGTAGTCTGAGGATAGAGGAAGGAGTTTGTACTGAGGTGAGATAACTGAAGTCTTTAGGACCATTTGTTTTTTGATCTGCAGTCATGTTTGCTGTTTTCTTCCCCTGAGCTGTCAAACAGTGGAATTAGTCTGTAACTGTTTGGAATCGATACACAGTTAGAACCAGTGCTAAAACCCAAAAAACCTCAAAACTGACAAACCTCATTGATGGCTGCTTTGGGATGGGAGAGTGTACGGACAGTTGGTGTTATTCATTACACCTGAAATGTTTGAAACCATGACAGGCTGCCAAAATACATCATCTCAAGTATCTAGGAGAAAGAGTCACAGTTGTTGGACCTCAGTGTAACCAAGATGAATTTTGTTAACCTGAGTTACTAAGTGATTACTAAGGTAATTACGTCACGGTAACTGGTAGGAATGAATGCAGAAACTCATGTTAACAAAAATTAAGATTCTTGATGAGGTATTTTGATATCATAGAAGTTAAATACTCTATTATGTGCCATTTTCTTAAATGCTAGGAAAAGAAACTGTCATCTAAATTATGCTAGTAAGAGCAAATCCACACTGCTGTTTGATTTACAAAACTTCAGTCCCATGTACTACTTGGGGACTTGCAGCAGCATTTCTAGTGGGCTTCCAGAGAGCATTTTAGTAGGGAACTGAAATACTTAGTAACTTCTGTCTTTGGAGCTCACAGCTGGAGGTGTTTCTTACACAGCCAGCTCACAGCAGGGCCATGTGAGTCATTCTGCCTCTGAATCTAAGGTACAGGGGCTGTGCAGACCTCGATACAGATGTGTCTGCTCTTGCAGCTGGGATGACGGTTAAAAACTGACTTCTCTGCTAACTCGGGGCAGGAAACGAAATTAAAGCACTAAGATCACAGTGAGCTGCACAGTGCAGAATGAGTTGATGCTAGAGAGGAAAAAAGTCTATTGCTCTGGATTTGCAAGTAGTATAAAATGTGATGTTGTTAAATGTGCTTAGAAGGGACAAAAAAAAAATGCAGAGTTCAGAACTGGAATTCTTTTATTGTGGTTCTGTTGTGATGCTCCTTTGATTTGTTTTCTGCCCAAGAAATTAAACATGGAAATTCTCTAAACACTTTACTGAAGAATTCATCCCTTTTTCAGGAATGACTCAAATTAACTTTTAATTCTGCATTTCAGTAGGAGACCAAATTATTTTAAAATGGTCCTATACTTTTTATTTTACAAAGAAGTATTTGTCTTTTGCTACAGTCACTGCCACACACAGTAAAAATTCATCCAGTTTCTTTTTTGCCTTGTAATAAATATCTAACTTACTAGCTCAGAACATGCTGAATAGCTGTATGGTCTTTTCAGCAGGGCTTCTGCATCTTGAAGCTCAAGAAAGAAAAGGACTTTCTGTATATTCTTAAAGAATCTCGGACAGGAAAAAAAACCCCAAAACCTGGAACTTGTATGGAAGACATCTTGCCTGTCTTTCCTTCCCCTAACTCTTGTCAGTAACTGGGCACGGGCAGACTTATAGATGAGTAGATCAGTCTGGTGTGGGTAGAGTTTGCTCAACTACTTGTAATTACTGATGGGACTCTGTCAGGTTTCCCATCCTCTTTCATTTTTAGCACAGTCATGTTTGCATTTTTTGGAACTGTTTTTGCAGTGAGCAAAATCACTGTTGTCTGATGGTAGTTTTAGCAATGTATCCACCTTGAAAGAGGCTTATAGATAACGTTTGGGAGCAAAACTGTTTTTTTCATTAGGTAACAGAGTCAGAGCAAACAAACCTCTAGCAGATGGACTAGGTCGTATAAACATTGGCAGAATACTTGAAGTCATTTGAAAAGAGAGATTCTCATTGAACTTTTGGGGGTGGGGTAGGTTTAAAAAACTTGATATACCCAGATGTTTGCCATTGCCTTAAGCTAAGCAGCCATATACAGCTCTGATTCTGTAATGGATGTTTACACATTAGCAGAAACAATGCTACATTCGAAAAAAAAATCTGAAAATTTGGATTTACTTTTTGTGCTTTAGTGGGTACTGTTGTTTTGAAGGCAACTATGAAATTGTTTTTGTGATAGTTTTGTTACAACTGTTCCCTAAACTGTTTTGCTTCTTTTTCCCTTCAGGTGTCTGAACGCTTAAATCAGCCAGGAGTAGCCATAGGCTTGGCTTGGACTCCCTTAGGAGGAGAGATCATGTTCGTAGAAGCCAGTCGCATGGATGGAGAAGGTCAGCTCACTTTGACTGGTCAGCTCGGAGATGTGATGAAGGAGTCAGCACATCTTGCCATCAGCTGGCTGCGCAGCAATGCCAAGAGATACCAGCTAACCAATGGTAGGTTGGGAAGAAATGACAGTGCGTTATGGAGATGGTGTGCATCCGTTGGCTAGACAGACCAAGTCTGTAGTTTTTCTCTAAAATTTAAGATACAGTTTATGCTAAATATCAGTTTTCATAGTCTAAGCTTTCATACCTCGAGAATTAGTTGGGTTTGTGTGGCAGCTGTTGAGCTGCAGTGCAGTAGGACTTCAGCCAAGACACTTTTAACTCTTGAATCTCCCAAAAGTTCTGTAAATGGGCCTAGTTGGATCATCTGCTGACTCGTCAGTAATTGGCCAGTATCTGTCACTACTTACGGAAGTTTAGACAGGTTAAAAAACTAAATGGAATTGATGCATGAAATGCTGCTGGTATTAACTGCATATAGATTTACCTCTCTAGTTTACACTGTTATGTCCTACGGTTCAGCAAGGTAAAAAGTAAATAAGAGATTTGCTTTCTGATATTGGTTAATCCTGGGTTTCTGTGAAGTGCTGGTTCTTTGGGATAGTCTCTGAAAATTGACATTTAGAGGTGGGGACATAAAACTCCCTAAAAATTCTGTGTTGGAATTGCTTGGTTTCTACATTACTCCCTACTCAGAATTTCCCAATACATGCAAATACAAAGCATATTGGTTGACTTGTTACGGTTTTCTCTGGGAATCTGGATGCAGTACGCACATTAAGTTGTCTTTTTGTTTGTTTTTCTAGGGCCTCTGTGATACAGTGTTGTTTTTTCAGTCTACTGTTTGTTACAGAAATAGTGCTGAGACTTCTGATTCTCTAGTGGGCTTTTAGAATAAAGACCGGGAACAAAATGGTTTAAGATTTTTCACATTCAAACCATTCTTTTTTTTCCTTAAGCTTCTGGAAGTTTTGATCTCCTTGACAACACTGACATCCATCTGCACTTCCCAGCTGGAGCTGTCACAAAAGATGGACCATCTGCTGGCGTTACCATAGTAACCTGTCTTGCCTCACTCTTCAGCGGGCGGCTGGTGTGTTCAGATGTAGCCATGACAGGAGAAATTACACTAAGAGGCCTTGTTCTTCCTGTAAGCATCATTCCAGAAATGAGCCAAGTTGTATTAATTCTCCCTGTTCTGGGTATAAAATCTGGTTATAGCCATTTGCAGCAATCCAGTCTCTTTTGGTATGCTGTCAGGCTGAGGGGAAGCCAGCCTGCTGCAGTGCCACACCATTCCTTATGGCCTTACATTGAACGCTAAAGCTCCCCTTGATGCTGCTTTTGAGGAAAACACTGCAAAATGTTTAGCGAGAAAGTAAACCTGGACATCGTAAAATTCAAGATGGTCCCAGAATTGCAATTTCTAAACTGTTAATACAGAACTAAATCCACTTTAATCTGAAAAGTTGTTTCTTATAGCTCTTGCAGTTACTGTGTGTAGGTTACTCTTGATGCCATCTCCAAATGCATGTTTTTGAAGTGGTCTTAAATTTTGTTACTTGTACATAGTTCAGTTGAATGGTTCCTGTGAAGCTTTTTCAAAGCATGAGGTAAAGCAAGTTTTCAAACCAATAGTTTTAGTTTTCAGTATCAGATGGAGCCTACTGTAAGTGATTACACAGATACGGGATTGAGTTACCTCTCATACCAAATGATGGACAAAGGAAGTGTGAAATAGTATTTATTTTGTTTCCTGCAGTAAGCCAGAGTAACAGGGAAAGGTGTAAGACTAGAAGGATCTCTGAAATAGCAATCTGGTGGCAGTCAGACTGACACGATTGCTTGTTGGTCAAGGCTGTAGTGAAAAATAAGCATTGCATTGAGGCTGCCCTGGTGCAGTTTACTCAGTTTAGCAGATAAATCGCTTTTACTGTAGCAGTGACCAAATTTTGCCTACTCATTACAGTTGATGCAAAAATTGGTTATCTAAATACTAGACCAGACTTACCTTCCTTCTAAAGGTTGTCTAGAATCCTGTGGCATTGCATCCTTAAGGGTACTTTCCCCCTAAACCTGGTACTGCCCTTATCGTAAGAACAGTTTTAATGTAGGTACAGGGTTTCAGCATATCCTGTGAAAAAAAAAATGAGTCAGGGCCCTGTTTCTTAAGAAATCCTGAAAAGTGGTGACACTTCCACTATTGATGCTCTTGTACCTGCATTCCCGGATTTTTTTCTTTCAACTGTTATAGAAAGGGTACAGTAGCACATTAACATATTCCCCTCATTAAGCATATAATGAGCTAAAACTACAGCTGCATTATTCTTTTCTTTTTCCTAAATGACTGGGGGAGGGAGAACCTTTCATTAAAGTTTAACTCCTCATCTGATTTGTTACAGTGATTACCTCATTAGATCGGTGTCATGGATGTTTCCATATATGTATTTCTTCTCATTAGGTGGGGGGAATTAAAGACAAAGTCCTGGCAGCACACCGAGCTGGACTGAAGAGAATCATCATTCCCCAGAGAAATGAAAAGGATCTTGAAGAAATTGCAGTGAACATACGGCAAGATTTGACTTTTGTTATGGCAAGCTGCCTGGACGAAGTTCTTAACGCAGCTTTCGATGGAGGCTTTGCAGTTAAGCCCAGAGTTGAGCGTCTGAATAGTAAACTTTAAGCAGCCAGGCCAAGATTACAGCTGTACTGAGTTTCACAGAAATCAAGAGTTATCAATGTATCAAGTAGAACTATGAGCTAAATTTGATTGTTTAAATGTGGGTGTAAATGCAAATGCAAATAAAAATACTACTACAGCAGTTAATCCGAAACCACATTTTACAGGCATTTTACTAGCATCAACAAAGAATCATGAAAAAAATACTCCTTTACTGACAAGATTAAAGCATGAGAAAGCTGAAGCTGCCAAGAAGGAATCCTCAGCTCATCTGGCATAGCTGTATATAAACAGGGAATAGGCTGAGAAAGTTGGGGCTGTTCAGCCTGGAGAAGCTGCATGGAGGCCTCATAGCAGCCTTCCAGTATCTGAAGGGGGCTTGTAAGGATACTGGGGGTGGACTCTTCATTAGGGACTGTAGTGATAGAACAAGGGGTAACGGGTTAAAACCTAAACAGGGGAAGTTTAGATGGGATATAAGGAAGAAATTCTTTCCTGCTAGGGTGGTGAGGCACTGGAATACATTGTGCAGGGAGGTTGTGAATGCTCCATCCCTGGTGGTGTTCAAGGCCAGGTGGAACAGGACCTTGGGTGACATGGTTTAGTGTGAAGTGTCCCTGCCTATGGCAGGGGCGTTGGAACTCGATGATCTTAAGCTCCTTTCCAACCCTAACTATTCTATGATTCTGTGATTCTATAATACATAATTCTGTGAACTGTAGTTATGAGAACACAAATTGCAGCAAATTCTGCTCAGCAAGAGTCCAATATACCAAAAAGTAAACTGACGTAGCCCAACAGTTTACTTATTTAGGAAATACGATTCAATACACTAAGGAGCAGCAGCAGCAGGGGAAAAATAAGGGGTTTAAAATGCTTAAGGGATCTGAACAGAAGCAATACGGTCCAAGTTAAGTTCCTAAGTCCTTTCAACCCTCACCTCTGGTTTGTGCAAGGTCTATGCAGACATCATTTTTAAAACCTAAATGCAGGGACCTACTCCAAAGAACTGTTCTAATTCTCATGAGAGGAGGGAGAAGATGCACTCAGGTTCAGGTACATGCAGTTGTACTGTCAGCACCAGGAGGTGGAGCACACTTGAAGACTATGAAAAAAGCCTGGTCATGTTTTGGAGGGACAATGTGTTGTGTCTCTCTTAACTGACAGAAATCACTTTTGAGCCTGGGGTGCCTATGTTTGTAGTTAGCCTATAAAGAGTGAATCGTTTAAACAATGCCAAGAGAACACTGGATCATCACACTGAATTAGGTACTGCACACTGCGAGTGATGTAAGAAAAATCAAGCCTGTCAGTGTCCCATCTCAGCTGACGGCTTTGTCTTGGCTTCCCTTGAATGTGAGTGTGGATAGGGATTTAAACTTTTTAAATGTAACATCCTTGCGTATTTCATTGTTTCATGCTAGGGTCAACCACAAGGGAAGCCCCATATATTACAGTCTCATCCTGCTCATATATTCTGAAACAAACTGGACTGTGCTCATGAAATGCAAACTGTGTCACTGACAAAAGCTATTACAGGAGCAGCCTATAGATCAAAAGTCATGATTTGTTTTGCTTTCATTTACGCAGACAGCTGATTTACCTGGAACATAACAGCACCATAGCAACAGATTATGTATTTCTGTCCCTGATTACAAAAGATTTTACAAATGTCACTGAAGACGATCTAATAAAATCATAATGTTTCACTATTTTAAGAATTCTGTTTCAGTCATTCACTAGGCACCTTGCAAGGTAAGAGGCAACAACCGAGTCTCAGAACACCTTACAAGATACTTGAACACAGAATACATAAAGAAACTAGACAATTGGTGAAACACTACGAAGGTGCATCACCAATGCACTGCTTCAGCTGCTGCAATTTTAAAGCACTACTGCAACCAACCAGCAAAAAATGTCAAACAGAACCCAAACATTAACATCCATGTTTGACAATCATTTTCCTTTTAAGGCTTCCCCCCCCCCCGCCAAGGGGCAATGAAAAGCAATGGAAACAGGGCTAGCAGACACAAGATCTACTCCATTTCATCCCATCTACTACATGTGAATATTCACTCCCAATACAGCAAAGTAAAACAATGTTTTCTACAATAAACAGCTACTGTCACAACCATGTCAGACTTTAATACACCATTTATTTTAAATAAGGCAGTGAACTGTACAGACTTCTAGTATGTTTTCTGTTTCCATATCAGAGCGTAGGGGACTTGCCATATCCTCGAACTCTTCAAAGGAGAGCCACTGAACAGGCTTCTAACACTTCTGAGGATCTGGGCCTAAGGATAATAAACTCTAATCATTCCATCTGATGAGGGACACCCCACATTCCATACAGATTTCTTAACAAGACCAGAGAGCTGGAAACAAGCTGACCTAGCAAGCAAACACAAGTCCCAAGCAGCTGATCACACACAAGTCGGTGTATCCCTCAAAGTATCAGAAAATATTTAGCCAAGTTTCTGTCAAAGATCCGGGGACAAACCAGAGGTAAATGTAGACAGGCTTAAGTAGGTGAGAGTAATTACTGAATTTGGAAGACTGCGAAGAATTACTGTATATTCACACAGAAAAAGATGCCAGGCAGCTGGATTTCTGAAATGTTTTATCTACTGTCACAAGGCACCAGTACATCTTTTAAATTGAATCTGTGTGCCATTCCAACAGCCTAATGTCAGATTTTAAGTGAAACTTACTACACAAAGCCAGCTATTTCTGTAGTACTTTATTAATCCAACCTGATGGATTTTACGTTCCTTACCCATACTTACCTCATCATGCATCAAAATAGTAAGAGCAAGAGTTGCCTTAATAGATCAACCTCTGACAAGAAAGTTAAGACAGTGCACAGTAAATAAAACTGTATTTTAATGGGTTACAAAAATAGTTAATAGCCAGCCTACCTCCCCAACCACATGTCCACTACCACCAGGTTTGACAAAGATCTCTTTCAAACAGCTTTTCAGCTTAGTCTATTCTGTGTGTCTGTAACTTGCAACACAAATACCATACACATATATGGCTCAATCTTTCACATACAGATGGACTGTGGAAAGCCCAGTACCCTTCAAAAGGCTTTCTGTCTGGGGAGTCACACCTGTAGGAGACTGTTTGCATTGTAACGTTTGTCATGTCACTAATATACAGAAGTCAGCTCCAAGACAGTTCCTTTAGTAACAATCAAAAGCCGTGAAGACAAAAAAACTAAGCAAGAGTATCAATGTTTCAAACTTTGAGCTAATGCAAAAAGCAAAAGTTGGGTTGTTTTGTTTTTGAATTTGCCAGGTATTCTCTTAATGACAAACATAAAAAGACTGAAATCATCTCATTCTGCCTGCCTTTTTTTTAAGCAAGTGCTCTGGGTTTGTAATTGAAATACTGCTTAAGATAACAACTTCTTTGAACTGCAAACAACAAATACAAGGATGCAATCATGTTTCTAAACATCTCTAAATTTGAAGCCTGAATTTAAACAAAATAGTAATTCACAAAATTCTTAGTAATTGTTCCTTTTTGGTAGAAGATAACTCAAAGTACAACAACATCCTGACCTGTTTTTAGAGGAGATTCTTTACCGATATATCTTTCAACAGAATTACTTCTTTCGAGTTCCGTACATTCACAGAACAGCTCAGTTAAGAACAGCATCACCAAAGAATTGACTACTGGAAAGAGACAAAAGTTACCAAACATACAGAAACAGAAGTTTTACCATAGCAATTGTGCATATCAAAAGATGACACTGGTAATTATTTTTTAAAAAGATACAAAAAAGAGAAAAACCTGAATTACAGAAAAGAAAGTCATATTTATTTAATGAAAAACTAGAAGTTAATAAAAATTAGCAAATACACAAAAAATATACACAAACAGCAGCAATACTATGTAGTGACTTACAAAGGGGGACGGGGAGGCAGGGAAGCAGTGGCCAGAGACCAGACCACTCAACATGGCTTGTCAGTCAAAGGGGTGGAGGAAAAAAAAAAAACACAAACAAAACCACAAAACAGTATCCTTCTCAACAGTACAATCAATCTACAAACAAGATTTTAGAATTATTTTACACCATTTTCTGTAGAATCAATTCTTAATACAAAAGATGCCCGTTTTGGGTGTATATATTTTTTCAGTGGTTTACTGTTGACTTATTTTAAATATATTAGTGTTACTACATGCAACTGCTTCTTGTAATTTAACAGCCTTTCCTTTTGTTTACCTTCATGTATGTCTAGCCTCCATCTACCAAATAATTCATCCGACAGTCAAAGGTGGTTACCCTAGTTTCAGCTAAATTAAATGCAACGATTTAAACACTGGCCTCAAGAGGTTGGATTGCCATTTCAACACATGGATATAGTTACATTGATGCCTAAATTGCCGTTTTCTGCAAAGAGCTGTGCAATGCTGGTGTCAAAGACTAGACAGTCACTATTCATAATGGCTGTTGAAATTCCCTCATGGATAGATCGAGGAGTTGCTTCCCAAGTCAATCGCCGTCTATGACCATTTAACTCCAGCCGATAAGCAAAGTTTTCTGCTTGCTTGCGGGTTCCTATGAGCTGTACAATCGCAAAAAACTGCTGATGACCATCATACTTCTCCTGTTTCTCCAATACTAACATGAAATGAAAGCCAAAACAAGACTGCATCATAACCCAGTCAACAGCACCAGGAAGATTAATGTCTGTAGCAAGGAAGACTATATCTTCTCCCTGAAGTGTTGTAATAGACTTATGTTGATGCATCAGGTGTGGCATTACAGCATCCAGAGAACCTTGCCATTTACAGGAAGCACCGGGACATGGACAGGAATAAGGCCTAAACTCACACAGCTCCTCATGGTCTGCTTTTTCTGTGTGTGGCAAAGTTATCTCACATCCAGAAGAGGCATATTTACATGGGAATAGTACAGAATTGGCAACTTTCTCCATTGCCAGGTTACGAATGGAGCCCAGCGGGCCTCGGCAAGTTGGACAGCACGTAAGTTTGGGGCGACAGTTGCTGCAAACAAGATGGCCACTCTGACACTGAAGAATTGGTGGAAGCACATAGTCAAAACACACAGGACACTCAAAGAGACTAGCCAAGTCATTATTGGAAGCTGTAGTGCCTGTCAGCGCAGGCACCCTCTGTGATGGTGTACACTTTGAAGTACCCGTGGGTAGTGCTGTAGCAGTCTGACGGCTCATTTCTGCAACAGAACAGAGAAAAAAGAGTGAGCACCCAGACACATTTGATTTTCCTCTGCATAGATTTGCTTGATTTACAAATAAATCTCAAAAGAAACCAGATACAAATGACAGTGAAAAACCTCCATGTAACATAAACTGTGGGTATGTTACATGGAGAATATCAGTTGTGCTGCATACAACACAAACACTTGTATGAGATGCAGGTGTAACAAGTGAAGAAGTTCTCCTAATTACTCTGAAGTAGAATTTACTTATTGGAAACTCCAAGGGGGATGAGTAAAGACACACTGAAAATGAAACTGGAATCCTCAAAGTTTGTAGTTGGTGTTTTGTTTTTGAAGGGGGAGGGGGTGGTGTTAATACTGCATTTACAAAATACTCCACCCAGGCCACTGGGTGTAACAACTGGGAGCACTATGAAGCAATTCTAAGGCTGTATTTTAAGTTCCTGCGTATTTAGTGAGATGAGAAACCAGACATTATCTTCAAGATACGACCTTCTCAGTGACCATGTTTACTGTATTTTTTTTGTCTTAAATTGAAAACCAGTAGCAAGGAAACCCATAGCTCAGAGATCACTACACTGCTTTGCTCCCCAGGACAGGGCACTGACTCTTCATTTTCACTACTCTGTTACTCAGGCTTGTAAAGCACATCCACTGCTTCAGCTTCCTGAACTAAAACATTTGTTAAGATACAAGAAAAGAAAACCCAAGAATTTTATTAAATTTCCCAATTAAGAAATTAAAAAGAAATTTGAATTTGAGAATTAATTTTGACATCTTAAGAGCTCAAACATTCCCAGTATTTGAAGAGGCACTGATGTTGATTTAAGTTACACAGTCAGCGGAGTCCACACTAAAGTTCTGTCCTTTCAAACATCCCCATACAAAAGTTGAGCCCTGCCTGCCTAAGCACCTTGCTCAAGTGTTGAACAGGCCAGTTAAAGTACTGATAGATTCACCCCCCCAACTCTCCTCCTTCCCGTGCAGAAGAAATTACTAGTACTACCAGAAAAAAATAAACAGTCCAGTTTGAAAAGATAAACCTTGCCATCCTAAGTGAAGGAAGTTAAATGTTATCCAAAACTGGTTTCTATTACACACTAAAATTCTCAACCACCTTAAGTGCTTCCCTGCAAGTACACCAGCTCTGTATCTGTCACATACGTATAAAGGTTTCAAAATAAACCTCATCCTTAATCACCTTGCTATTTGACATGGGAATATTAGGCAACAGGCAAGCTTCCCATATTTAGCATCATTTCACCCACAAAGTTACTCATACTTGGACTAGGTACCTCAAAGCAGCATACTGTGCATGCTTTTGCAAGACATGCACAGTTCAGGGCATGCAGCAAAGGAACTAAGAGACTTGAATATAAAACAAACTTATCCCTTGACATTCAAAAAGTAAACAGACCAGCAGTTTCAAGTTCTTCTACAGAAGCACCTCTCTCCCAAGGCAAGAGCTAGAAAAACACTGTCTAAGATTCAGTATTTGGTCACATGCCCAATAACAGCATCATCTCACTCTTCAAAATCTCTTCCTTCATCTCAGGCTTCTTGGACTAGAGATACCCAGTTCCCATCTTTGGGGAAAAAAATTAACCAAACTCAAACAATGCTGGACCTTAACTGATACTGTAGAGATATGACAGGAATGTTTGTATCTTCTGGCTTCATTTCCCTACTGTAAGGCATTCCAGCTTAGATGAAAAGTTCAAAAGCTTATTTGATCTGTGACAAATCAAATAGATGTTCTGGGGAAGCAATGCCACCTGAGCTTGTTGCTAGGGGATTCAAATGGTAAATGCCTCTGTGAGAACTGAGCACTGCTGTTGTTTTTCCTCAGCACCTGTAGGTGGGAGATTCATTATGACATGCTGCAGTTCTACGATCTAAAACAAATTATACACAGAAAGGATCCGAACATGGGAGAACAAATTCTGATCACGGTATTCACTTGGAAAGAGCTTAGAACCACAGATTGATTTGGGTTGGAAGGGACCTTAAAACTCACGCAGCTCCACTAGTTCACTAGACCAGGCTGCTCAGTAACACATCACATGCATATTCATATGTCAGATTCTAAGCATGTTTCCCTTCCAATATTGTAAACACACACATTTCAGAAACATTTGTGTTTCATCTTCCCTGTACCTACAGGTCCTGATGCAGGGATCCCCACTAATCCACAGACTGGTGAATGAATCCACTGCGTTAGACCAGTTCCCTGGGCAGTCTGACGGGCTGGGTGAGCTCTGCTTTCTTTAATTACACCTCTCAGGGCCCATTCAACGTTAAATTAAGCAACCTTCAAACTTTGCAGGAGACCTTATGCACAGAGGTACTTCCCACTTAAACCTCCTAAGCCTCAAAATACTAGAGAAAAAAACCATGTACTACAGAGAACTGTACAGCCCTGTTCTATCACCATTTCTGTGTGACCAACCTTCACACACATCTTCTACAACTCAGGACTGTCCAAACAAGCAAGTAATTAAACTGAGCAGTAATCTGTGAACCAGGCCTTTGAGATTAGCACACAACGAATAAACTGGATAAAACTATAAACTGTAATTCACCAAGCCTCAACCTGCCCAAAGCCCACATTTTCATCACTCTTCTTAACGGAAAGATGAATAATACATCATGATGGAAAAGTGAGAAGTTAATTTCTTATAGCTCTCTTGAAAACTACAAGTTAATCACAAACACAAGCATTAACAGTACAATATATTTAACCTACTAAACTATCAAAAACATACAATTACAAACCACATAAAAATAATTACAGAACTGGAAATAAAATACATTTCAGTTACAAAAGCTTTACTACAGGTAAAACCCCCTAATACGTGATATGTGTTACTATCTCTTTTCATACACTGGGAATAAGTCTCTAAACAACAGTGACAACGTAAGGCTACGCATCATTGTCAAAATATTATTTCCTACAACACAAATTATTCAAGAGATTGTACAAATTAAAAAAACAAACAAAACCCTAACAACACAAAACCAAAACAAAATCAAGAGTGAAAAGTGCATTTTAAGATTTCCTAGTTCTAAAGCAAGAAAAACTCTGTCCTTGACACCAGAACGCACACAGCTGTTGAGGGAACTTCTCAGTACGGTTCTGGGGAGGGGTGAGCTGCACGCTCTCGAGGCCTCCCGAGGGACACGCTTTCAGAGCTCCTACACAACAGCTTACAGCCCTGCGCACGCTGCGAGTCACAAGTCGCTACCTTTCCCCTTGCTGGCGTTACTTCCCGACAAGCAGGCACACAGCACTTCCCTCCACGAATGCGGCGAGCTGGAGGCCGATCTCCTCGTCATGCGGAGCGGAGGAGCTCATCGCGTCTCCGCTGGGCTGTCCAGGATGCACAGATCCCCGGCGGCACCCCGCTCTGCTCCAAGCGCTGCTGTCACCCCCCCATTACGGCTGCACGCACGCTCCGGCCCAGTGCCCCAAAATGGTTTCCTCAACCTCCGTCCCGCCGCGGGCCGGTGGCTCCGCTCCGCTCCGCGCCGGGTCGGGCAGGGCCGGGCCGGGCAGGGCTGGGCTGGCTCCTCCTGCCGGCGCTACCCCGCGCTCGGCTGCGGGCCAGCTGCTGAGGCCGCGCGGCCCGGCCCGGCCATTGGCTGCCCCGGGCTGCCCCGCCCCGCCTCCGCACGGCCGCAGGGAGTAGAGCGCGGCGGCCCGGCTCGGGCGGCCCCCAGCGGCCGTTGGCACCCGTTGGACCGCGGGCAGCGCCTCTCCCCAGCACGGACACCCCGAAAGGCCCGAGTCGGCCCAGGCCCGCCGCACACACCGCCGCCTCCCCGCACCTGTACACAGAGCTCCGCTCAACACCGGTACGTGATTCTCACGTGCCACAACCACTTCTCTTCAGATACAGAGATGGATCTGATAATCTTCCCCAAATAACCGCTTCTAAAAAGCTACAGACTGCATTCAAAACATGGATTTCTCTTCCAGTTGCCGCTATTTCAATGCTCTGATTAGCATTTTCCACTGTAGCTGTTAACATGAATAAAGTAGCTGTTCAACACGAATTTTCACCATTTCTATGAAGCAGAAGCATACTAAGCCCTAGAAAAAGACCAACAGACTTGGAAAAATATGACACAGTTGAATATCCATGTGGACTGTTGACAAAATAGAACAGCTTAAGGATAAAGGAGTTGGAAACCAAGTCAACACGATGCATGATGCACACTCTGCGCTCATCAAACTTTCAGCATGACAGAATACAGATGTATGGATAGCAAGATCATGGAAGTACAAGTTCCAGTGGCGCCAACAGAAGAATATACTGCAATAAATTGTTCTGGTCACGTAAAAAGGCTACAGTATCAGAATAAAGAAAATTATCTTTGAAAATGCATCCCTACTACTCGAAATTTAAGTCCTGTTCAAGGAAGACCATGGAAGCTTGTACTGGCACTCCACTACATGCAAGTAACACCCCATCACTAGTAACAAAAACTATCAGGACAGTAACAAGACATACTTCAGCCTCCCCCCAAACATGCAATATACAACATCTCCACCTGCTAAGAGTCAAGAAAGTTTCCAAACAACACCGAAAAGCTGAAGAAAACCAGCACTAAAATGGCTTTTGAGAAATCAAGAGTGCCTTCTGAAGTGTGTGAAACGTGCCCTGGGCTCTCCCTTCTGCAGTAAAGCAGCTGTCCCCAAAACAAAAATCACTAGCCCCTCCATAGGTTAGTGAATGCTCTGCTAGACTGATGTAATAATGTACAATGCCTGAAGAGAGAAGGCCTTTGAAACTCCAAACAGATAAAAAAATTACAGTGAAAAGAGGAAGATGAAATCAATCCACTGCTTAAAAAGCTCAGCTGAGGTGCAGGCACAGGAAAGCAGTTTCAATAGAAGCTCAAAACAATGATATACCTCACATGCCACAGAATTAACAGTACACAGGAAAGGATCGATACCCTTTCAGCTGCTCACCTTTCAAAGGTGTTGGCTTCAGACACCACTCTAGAAATTACCTCTCTTGTCGTACATCAAAATGCAGGGTACCTTTGACAAATGCAAGTCAATACCACCCACTTACCCAAAATCTTCACCCTCAACAAACAGATTAAGACTTAGATTTAACATTTTAATTTGCTTTTGAGGGAGTATCTGAATATTGGTTTTGGGAAAAAAACCCATGAAACTCCTGTAGAGTCATTTAAACAGCTGGAAGAGAGAAAAACCCTCTGATTCTATAATGCTGAAGAGTGGTGTAAGGAAAGGATCTGCCTTTTCACAGATGGAATATCTTTTTTTTTTTCAGTCATATTTCAGAACTAATTGAATTCAGAGACTTCCACTCAAAATGCATTCTTAATGCATTACAGCCATCAACAAAGTTAGATAAAATCTGTCAACTTTTTCAACTCTACGTTCATATTTGAAAATAAGACTTCTTAAAAACCATCCCCCTGTTACTGAGCACTGCAAATGAGAACATTTCATGACAGTGTTTGAAGTTGTAAAAAAAAAAAAAAAAACACCAAAACAACGACAGGTTACTTCTTCTAAGGTGTGATGTAAGGCAAGGAGTGCCAAAACCTGAAAGTTAACCTGCTGAAAATACTCATTAAACAGGTGTAAATAAGATCTTAAAAGAAGATAGAGAAAGATCGGTAACGCCTGTAAAATGTTCTAAACAATAAATTGAAAATACTAAAGAGTGACCAATATTTCCTTGGCAGCAGCAGCAGGTTTTGTGAATGCAACAGAAAAAAAGAAGTGTGTGTATATTTAGAAGAAAGAATGTGTGCACATGTACAAGTATACTCTAAGTACGTACTATCACGCCCAAGAAGCTGCAAGTGTTAGCGATACAAAAGTCAGAAGTGAATATTATCTTGAGAATGAAGGTGATTATAAAGCACACTTGGTTCTGATCAGAAAGGGGCTCCAGTGTATTTTAAGTAGGGAGCTTTCTCACAAATTTTAAAGTAGCACTGGATTAATTTCATATAAAAAATTCTTAGGTTACCATAATTTTGTAGCATGGCTGCTCAGTTATGAGAAATCTTAAGTGGCTGAGGTAACACCTATGGGTCTACGGAAAAGCCAGCTTTTCAACTACATGTACTTACTATTTCTGAAAGTCATCCTCCAAGGAATCTACCTTTCCTTGTCTCCTCTTGCACTCATAATCATCAATGTACAGCAAAACAGAAGGGAAAAGGGTTTTAGCAGGCTCTAGTGAAAATACTACATATTAGCCTCACCGCAACCAAACCCACACCTCAGCAATCAAACACATGTAATATTAAGTGCATTATGCACAACTGTCCCAGTGAATAGCTTGTATTTTTTAATTAATATTTTTAATTTCTATTTAAATTTCAAGACACTTGAGGGCCCAAGGTTTTCCCTTTTGAAGTATATCTATTTATCTCCCACAGCTCTTGGATGATTTCAGAAAAGGCTTGGCATGCTTAATATCAAATGCATGCTTGCTCCTGCAAGTATGATAACACTGGGTACATAAAAGTACATCCCAGCTTATCCACTGCCTCTCTACCCACTGGCCTACTTCAAAACTTCCAGAAGACAGTTCCTGACATAAATTATTAATCAACTACAAAACACAATTTAGTCTCTATACACTCTGGTTTTGATTCAAGAATTATGAATTTTTTCAACTCTTCCAGACACTGTTTTCTTTAGTGCCCTTAACTATATGCTATTTATTACTTCAGGCACCTCAGGGCTTCTAATTTCCTGCATAGCAGCCAAAAGCCAGAGCAATCCAATGTTAACAGATAATAAAGCAGGCCCCTCAAAATACTACAAAATTGAGGCCAAGTCACAAGATGATTTCCTTTTCCGAAACATCACTGTCCAGTTCATCTCCTTTGTATACAAAATTGCAACAATTTCCACCACCTTGTAGTGACCTAGCCTGCCTGGAAGTGCACGTATTTTTTTTCTTGCACCTCAAGACACTCCCTACCAACCCCTCTTCCCAACAATCAGGAAAGGAAATCCCAATGGATTTATATAATCATGGAATCAGTCATCCTCTTCGTGGCTACCTCTGCAGTGAACCACCAGACCCTAAGGCTCAGTGTTCTGATGCTATCAAATATATTCTCATGTACATAATATGATAACCAATTGAGTCACTGCTAGTGGGCAATCCAGGTCTTTTCCAAATTCAACACATACTGCATGGCAGATGCAGATCCAGACAGCACTATGTAAACAAAAACAGTAATATTACGTCCATCAAATCATAGTGACCTGTTTCTAATTCAACAGAAAAGCTTGAGCCTTGGCTAGTGTGCTTTGACTTCTGCTTCACCACTATCATTAACTATTTATCCTGCCTATCAGTGCCAAAATATAAAATACCAACCCAAGAGGTGTTTTCCTAGCTACCAAAGTTTTTCTTTCCGACAACTTTAAAATGTAAAATTAAGAAGGAACAGTGCCTTATAGAAGACATACAACACCACATAAAATCCATATTGGCAAGCGACTACTAGCATGACTACAGCTTGATGTTGTCATCATGTAACTTTTGAATGCTGTAGTCATGCAAGTTTTAAATGCAACAAATAACTTCATCAATGCAAAAAAAGCGAGTAACCCATACTGTAGGCGACCAGAATTTTCCATACTCTAAAGAATCAAGATCCAATTCAGCATGGAATATTGGAGACTATACTGCTATGGTACTCCAGTCTGGTAGAGAAAGGCTAACTGAAGACCGAAGCCCAGAGAAAGAATAACTAACTGATAAACCCCCAAATTTCATTCTAGAATGAACACTAGAAATGTCTGATTAACAGAAAAAGCTGAGTTTGGACTGCTCACTCTGTACTGTACTACCAAAGAACATCCCAGCTTTCATATGTCTTACAATTATAAGAACACAGACCATAAATAATAAAGCAAAATAGGATGTGCATCTCCCCCATCTTCTCAGAGATGGGAGGAAGCTGGATAGAAAGCAAAAGGTAGGGGAACTATAAAGGAAATTCCTTAAAATTCCAGCTATATGAAAAACAATTTATCAAATACCACCACTATGAAAAGAAAATGCAACAATATATTAAATAAACTGGTATAAGCAATAATAGCAAAAATTACTGATATGTGGTAATTTATTAGGTATTTGAAAAAAAATTCTTCCCTGTGAGGGTGGTGAGACCCTGGCACAGGTTGCCCAGAGAAGCTGTGGCTGCCTCGCCCCTGGCAGTGTTCAAGGCCAGGGTGGATGGGGCTTGGAGAAAACTGGTCTTGTGGAAGGTGCCCCTGTCCATGGCAGGGGGTTGGAACTGGATGAGCTTTAAGGTCCCTTCCAACCCAAACCAGTCTGTGAAAGTTAAGCCAAAAACTAGCCAGTGAAACCACCTTCTTCATTATATAAACAAAACTATAGAGAAAAAGAATCATTATTTAAGCACAAATCAAAACCAAACACTTGCATTAGAAAGATCATGGACCACTTCCAAATTGGACTTCACCTTT